CTACTAATGTAGGTTAAAATGAAAATCAAGTAGGGCACCGTGCAGTTAGGTTTGTGCGCTAGCACTAGACCAAAAAAGGTAGTGTTTGTATTGCCAAGCCGCCGAATTAGTCAGGCATTTGCACTCTTTTTTAACTCCGGAAACCAGTAACACTTCTGATACGATCTTTCCAGTTATTTCGTTGTGGGAAAATGCTAAACCAGTAGGGTAGATGGGTATAAGTGCATCGCCAGTGCACAGTCTGCACCTAACAGTGTTACCTGTTTATCAGCGTGTAATACAGGATAACCGTACCTAAAGATTGCATCCCAACTACACATGCTCATGGACAGTTAAACAGTACGGACGTCAGATAGTTCAAAGACGGAGAGGATTACTAATAATGGCACCAAACCATTCAAGTCGCAAATCAGAATCAATCTATTCAGGGAACCTTATAATCAGTTACTATGGTGCGATAGCATATCCGGCTGTTCGCGCACCATACCACTGTTCTTTATGGATCGATTAGTTCGGACTCTAATGCTGCCACTGCCTCGCCCAAAGAACCGAGTGAGCAACCATGTTATTTTTGTGTGGTCCACAGTACTTCACTGCGGTCAAAGTAGGCGGGTTGACAAACTTGTGGTGAAACTGTCTATCACCTATAAGGACAATAAACAAAAGAGCTCATGGTAGAGTCATGGTGTTATCAGCACACATTTTCTTCCCCACAAGTGGACCAAAACAATCGCAAGTGGTATGACTCGAAGTTAGATAGGCTTGGTAATGCCATAGCAACCGAACCACTGGGGCGCATAAGATGAATTACGAAGTGCGGAAAGGGAAAACGATAGAAACGAAATCAGCAATCGAACGAATAGGTATCCCAGCTTCAAGAGATAGTAGCATGGAAGAAGGAAATGTCTTAAAATGACCCCACATGAGATTCGAAGTGTTTCGACCGGTTCGGTCACTACACTGAACATATGGAATAAATGAGCCTTAAAATAATCCGTTAGTTTCGATATAAGAACAAGAAATGCTTGTATTGGTGAGCTAGATAGGAATAGGAAAACGTGGGGATATTTATGCATATTTCGTGATATCACAACTTATCAACTTGCATTTTTAGCGAATGATTGTGCAACTTTATTCCCAAATATGCGCTACTATTCAGCCTCTTGGAATATTTCTTATGAGTGCAATCTTTATTCGATAGTGCCATCAAATACCACATCGCATTGCTGGGCTGATGGTCCTACGTGGGAGTCGGTTACAATCCGGAGCGCGTGCACCTACGTTCCTGCGTTACATAGCGAAATTAAGGGTACATATGGCGTGGAAGTGTCCGGGCGGTTGAATGAGGGTAAATGCCAGGCACATGAGAAGTGTACTGACGACTAATGGTACAGACCGTGAGGGTGTTTTTGACCGCGTACAGGATTAGGAATTCGGGAGAGAAAGAACTTAAGGAATATGAAATAATGGTAAGCAATATTGTGAAGGAGGAAATGACTGGAATCCAGCTGGAGGCGATCGCACATCACAACTGCATCAGTTTGCGCTCCGGTTTGCAAAAAACTGAACAGTCCGGTCCGAATGCGACTCGTGAAAGCTATGTGTGGGCAACAACGTACTGAATACCACCCTTCAAGTTAGTGAAAAAAGTTGATTGTTCTATTGGTAGTTAGTGGAGCAGATGTGACTGGAAATTGATTCTTTGGTTACGAATGAAACAGACAAGCTGGCGCTAATACTTTTGGAAAAAGGCTACCTGGTCTGATAGAGAAGATGGCAGAAAATAAATATTGGTCCGTTCACACAGGGGGATTCTGTGACTGTCTAGCTGTATAAGATATGCAGGATGGGACACTGGATGGCACGTTTAGAATGAATAAGTCACGTAGAATTCGCCAAGGCACGGTTGCTTCTGGTATTCGATGAGTAGTCATATTTTTACAAAAAGATTTGCAACAGTTTCCTTGAGTAAGAAGTTCCGTCAACTTCTGTGTGTGGGGTTGCCCCTCCTACTGACGTTGAAATCCCTTCTATATAGGGTAACGTTAATGTATCCACAGTTGCGTTTCATAGAAGTCTCGAGAAAACACCGATTACGTTATAAACTGTTTACCTACTTCGAAAGTACAACAAGTTTTCATGTATGCTCATCAACAGAGAGATTCTGTCGTTATCAAGAAAGACTTTATTCAATCTCTAAAGTGGATATCACTTTTTTCCAAGTTTTCTCGCACATGAATGGCTAGTAAGCAAGAATATATTTGAGATATGCTGACAACAGTGTGGCAAATACTCAGCTCTTGCTCAAACCCCGTTTTTTTTCATTCAGCAAACCAAACGCGTCTATTTATTATTAGTTGCTTGGGAAAACTCTTTATACTCTTTATTAAGCATACTGTTCCATGTGTCTGCCATGTATCCTTTCAGGGACATGGCACTTTTGGTGAGAACAAATTGTTCTGTCGTTCAAGAAGAATGTCCCTCCTCTTTCTAGTGTTATTGCGTCCATTCTGAATGAAGGCAATCGTGATTCTGTCTCATGAAGAATCGGTACAGACGAACTGTTTTACCAGAGATCCTTTCACTGCAATTCCCACCCATTAAATCATGAGATCACTGATAAGCACTGGTCAGTAGATGTGTGCCCTTTTCAAACTGTCCTCGTATCCATAACCCTCCTATTATGTGTCAACCTATGGTTTGAACCCATAGTCCGCCAATGTTTTGTGGATTTCCGCGTGCGATGTTGAAGCCCCGTGTTGTTGTATGTTGTATGCACAATACCAGGCTGATTTTTTATCCTGGCATAGTGTTTCTACACTTAACGGTTCTATTTAGAATTGTGAAACAATCTGAAAGGAAGTACCTATAAGCTGAGACTCGTGATTCTTCTACATACCTACACATATATACACATGGTGACACAAGCTATTGATAAATCTCGGGATTCTTTAATACCTGGATTGTTTTGGCGCTTCACTGAGATGGACTTCCTTGAGTACATTAATTAATCCGCAGAGCACATGGGACGCACTGAAATGTCAGTAGTATGGCCTTAAGATCGTTTTAACGCATGTGAAACCTAACAGTGGAGGTCATGAGGAGCCATCTGGTGGCTTATAGGCAAACGAAAGTGTATAATTAAGTACAGCACGCAAAGAATCAAGTTAGGTGCATTCCTGGACAGACTCATAAATGGTGCTCTTTCCCCAGAGCATCCCTCCTCTGTAATGACCCGAAGGAATACTCGGATTAAAAAACTCAGTTGTGAAAAGCCACTAACCGCTAACCTTCAACGGCGACCACTTTTTGAATGCATTCCCCCCTATGCTGTTGCATAATCTGATCGGTCTATTTGCAACATCAAACAATTACAATTACAATTAATATGACACCTTGTATGAACAGCATGATGTGCTGATACGGACCTGTGATCCATAGCCCAGGTTGTCCACAACCAGCGTACAGCCAACCGGTTTTAAGGACAAAACCCAGACCACACTGGGTCCCTTTAGCTGAAGGTAGTTTGTGCATGTTCATGTAAACAGTTGATGTGAGGGTTGCAGATCAAAATGGACCAAAACATTTAGCATGTCTGAAACAAAACATGCTACACTTTAGGGACGTTTCTATGGAATATCGAAACATCCCCTGGTTCTTAGCTTGTGTATTAATGTACCACAATGCTAGTCCTGGAGTTACTACAAAACGGGTTTACAGAACTTTGGAGGTCTACTGAAAATTACGTGCTGTTAGTGTACTATTTCGCCATCAATTTCACAACGCCCTTGTCCATAAAGGAAGTAGAATTAATCACTCGCTTGATTTCTATTTTCTCAGTTTGGTAAGTGAACCAGTTAGTCTCATGACATCTGTGTGCGACCTGCAATTGCCAACTAGTATATGAATGATGGGATAGCCGCACGGATCTCGAGACAGTGGTAGTCAACTTCATGGAACATTGCTACCGCCACGAAGTTCAGTCAGATACCTGTTGCTTCACCGTCATCATGGCCGTGCGAGTTGAAATGCTAAATCGACCCTAGAGTTCAGTTATGGATTCATTATGACAGTTTTATGATCGTTATGTGTCCGTTGGAGTCAACAGGGATCAGCGGAACGGCCGCTAAACTCAAACATGATATGCGCAAAGTTGATAGTGTAAAATACGAAATCCACAACACTCAAGGGTCGTCCATACTGTGTGCAATTGGAATCGGCGTTTTCAAGGTTTACAATCTGTACCAATGACCTTTGGTTAGCTGAAAGCTATCAACGCTCTGTCCACTGTGATTGTACATGAGCTTTACTAACGGCGCTCAATGCTAATCCACTAGACAGAGGCATGACTGCTCGCGTGCGAAGTTAGGGTGGCCACGTGTGACACTGCAAAGAATAGTGAAAATCACTGGGAAAACGCGAGTGATCCTGCTGTACCTATCTGATAAGTCTCAAACAAGACGAAAGCGCAGCGAACTTCCTTCATGGCTAACCAAATCCAACCCGTATACATCCTTAAAGAGCTTTAATACATAAAAGGAGACAAAATATACCTTGGTCTAATGAAAGGCTTTAATACCATTTGACACCTAAATTTTATAGTAAGCAAACGATGCAGTCTTCTGAGCTTTACACTACAAAGAGATATTCCGAATGATTTGCTGGCATTCTCAAGGTGAAATTGTTTTACAATTGCCTGATTTAATGTCAACTGATCTCGAGTACGCCTATCCATAGACAGAACACTGATCACACTCATAAGGGTCACTCTACATGCAGTGGAAGATTTTATTGTTCACCAAAGCTAGCGGACTCACGGAATCAGAACGGTGTCCGATAGTCGCATGAAATGCTTCTGGATTTTGGCGACTTTCAGATAACATGGGTCTACTTGATTTACTGCGCGTATCATTTGGATATCGAAAACAGGAAAATGTTCAAGTTCATTTGTAGTAAGTAAAAAGCAACCTGAATATAGAAAGCTCGAAGATAAAACTCACTTGACAATGCGGGTGCATATTGGAACATCCGACCGCAGCACCACGATTTTCAAATATTTGCAGCCAACGGTAGCGCCGCTGACTTTGATATTTTGTGGTCAAATCACACCAGGCGTCTATTACACGTCTGACCTCAGCGGGACTCATCAAGGCCAGTGTTTTGTTAGAGTCTGGGTGGAAACACATGACTTGACAATCCCCGTGAGCCGGAGCCCATGCGAACAGTGGATTCTCTGATAGTGCTTTTGAAGCAAGGTGATCGTCTTCAATCGACTCATCAGTTGTATCCTTGAAGCGAAAAGTTATGAAGGAATGTATCAGTGATCTATGTTCCCAATCCCAATGCAATCAAATGCCCAGCTCAGCGAACGAGCTAACGATCATCTACACTACCAACATTTTCCTTTATAGAAAATATTCCCAATTCATTTGCAACTTAATTTGACCAACGGAGTTGTACGGACGAAATCTTTGCTAATCCCCTCAGTAGGATACGCTGATCTCTTGATACAAATTAGTCAACGCAGGTAATATAACAAGCGAGAATCGTTGGCGCGATCATATTGGTTCGCTCTCTTGGCATCGAATGCCATCATTGATGGCGTTTTCCGAACGAGCGTGGAAATCAAAAATGAAATAAAGGCTCTACTGTCGAAATAATAAGGCCCATGCGAAAAATGTCTCGTTTTCTGAGCGCGGATACCAACTTTGGGTTTGCCCGACTAGGATAAACTGGTTGATGACCTTGTACCACTCGGTATTAGAGCAAAACGTCGATAACAATGAGCGTGGATTCACAGCACCATAAATGTTAGGAGAAAAAGTTTCTAGTGTCTTTTCCGTTATGACTCTGTTTTGGTTTTGTCATCCAACTAAGCGGTGCCACGAAACCAGGAACCACATGATTGTTTCCAATGACGTTTCCCTAAGGTGGGAAGCATTAGGAGTGCGTTCAATCTGATGAGATTATTCAAGAATGGAGTGCACACTGAGAAAAAATGTGTTTGGTCATTGGGATACTTATCGAAACAACACTCGGAAATGAAAGGTCGGCGATACGGGAGACTTGTTGGGAAGCAACAAAGACAAACAAATCAATAAACGCTTGTCCTCCGATAAAACAATGGCGACCCAAATGAGCTGGTGGTACTTCCTACGGTGGAACTGGAGGGCACAAATCCACCAACAAGTTTTCAAACCTGGACAAAAATTTTTTTGTCTGAAACCAGGTTTTGTATAGCGAATAATGACCATAGAAGTGTGAGGGTGACCATTTGGGTGTTTAGCGAGAAAAGCGGTTGACGGGTTCAGTAGGAAGACTCATAGGGTAGTGGGAATGCCCATAATTAAAAAGTGATGACTCTTGAGATCCAACTGGATCAAGAGATGGTAAAAGACAAAAATACTTGACAGTGGAAGTTAAAGCAAACTGAATACACAATGATGCCTAAACTTCTGACTTTGGAAACGAAGGTGATAAAATGGGGTGAAATTTACCAACATTTATTGGAATACTTACATCAGTCTACAGTTGAGTTGTGTTTAGTGATCAAATACACCGAGAAAATGATAGCAAAATAGACCAGAAAGCTATGTCTGAGAAAAACTTACTGAGTTTGACAAGAACAATGATGTTATATCACTGGTTAATTTCGTCCCTCAACAGGAAATCAAGTCTGTCTTGTAGGACCACGTGCTAGGCCGACATTCTTATTAGTGGGAAAGGCAAATATGGTGGAAATTCAAACAACGCGACAGTCGAGGATGCTAGTGAGGAACAAATTGTGCGTTTGGAACGTCATTGACCGCTTTACATGAAATCATAAGCCCTCCTTGTAATTTTGACAACAGGTAAATCGGGGCACGCCGATCCACCTCTAGAAAGAACATCCAAGACATTCCCCTGAATTGTTCTCGCGTGTACGGAATTTCGTCTAAAGGGATTAAGTCATTTCGTTGATGAGTTCAGGCTGTTCACTGATCTATCCAAGAATGACTGTTTTATACGTCGGTAATTTTCTACCTTTATCAATCTCCCTGTGCTTCTTCCGCGGAAGAAATTCGCTAAGACGAATCAGGCGCCGACATTCTTCTACAATTCTGCTGCAGCGCTTTGCTTAATGGACCGGTTTCAACTTTATTGGGGATCTTCCCAGATGTATAACCGTTATTTGCAAGCTAAGCTGGTGGATAGGTGGGAACTCAAACGCGGGACGCCATAGATTTTTTCGATGCTGTTATTGTCAGCGTGCGCGCATGGACTAATAGGACGATGTTACTTGATATTCCGCCTTTTATCTGCACTTTGGTGTCCGGTATCAGTCACTCGGTTAGCACGGCTTGTGTAAGTGAACAAAAGTTCAAAAATGGGACAAAACTGAAACAGTCTGTTTACTGGGTACAAACTACTGAAGGGTGTAAAATAGGAATTTAGTATGATTTTACCGGGGAGCAGTCACCAGCAACACAGCTCAATTATGCATGTAACTCTGCCCATTGTTAGTGAGTTGGTGCGACTCGATGAAATCATACCAAATATCTGTTTTCCTCATTTACAGATTCGGGGGATTTCATGCCTATTCGTTCCGTCGATCACGTTGTCATGCCCCACTTAGGTGAAGCTGATCGTGTTTTCAATATTTGGTAGCCCGAAACCTATTGTAAACACTTTCCGCATAGTTGATCGACCACTCGCTCCTGACGGGACTGCAGGCGGACCAGTCTTGAAGTGTAATACTCACAGGATGGTGACGGTTGGCAATCTCCACAAAGTGCCAACATCAGTGCAAGACTTGCAGAAAAAAAGAGTTAACAACCGGCTATTTTCGAACCTTTACCAACTGCGTCCGAGAAAAGCACTCACTCAAATTCGTATGTCCAAAAATAAACTGAATGTCTTATAAAAACGTTCGTTGCATATCTGGACAAAAAACTGTTCGCAAATATGTAAAGCTGACTTTCGAAAACTGGGTTGCATTTGACGATACAGGATGTTTGTACACTTCGTCAAGATTCATCTGAAGTGAACATCGTGTTTTCGATTTTGATGGAAATGGAAGCGCTCCAACTGGCAAGATGCTGCTAAACCTTTGTGCTTCTCACAGTAGCCTTCTGATTTCAGCAACAGACTAGAATCGGTGTATATTTGTTGGCCGAGCTCAGCTGATATGTGGTCCAATAAAGCTCGAGCACAAGGCTGGACGATACGAAAATTTCGAATGAACCGGTATTATAGCTTGATAAATGCCAACTGATTAACAGATTATTCATTTAAAAATTTCATTATAATTACGAAATAGCCCAGCTGATGGAAGGTTAACGCTGAAGATACATAAGAGCTGGACAGAGCGAGGTTGTTTTTTAACAGATGGAAAAATTCGATCGCATAGGAACGAAAGGAAAAATGGAATGTCACGAGTTACACAATCGACCACTGAATGAATGAACTTAACATGACACAGGAATACACACAACAAATATCGGACCTCATGCGTGCCGCAGATAGGCACATTTATAAATCCTGTCAGTCACGTGACGCAGCCACGTGCGTGTCTTCTGGTGTACATGGGACCAAAAGCTAAACCAGCGGCTGTCAGTGGTAAATGCTCGCAACAATCCTGAGTGGGAGAAATTTACCGTCAGCACACGCACAAATGCTAACTGCCAAAATGTCGCTCAACAGTTACAGTGGGGGCCTGATATGTCAGGCGCACACCCAATAACCGAACTTGGGCCTAATACTCCAACATGACTATGTGCGCTAGGCATGTTGGAGTATTAGGCCCAAGTTCGGTTATCGGGTATGCATCCTGACATTCCAGACCACCATTTTAACCAGTGAGCACCCCTAGCTGGGTTTGGCAAATTGTCGGAATATTGTACGTCGATCGTGTCCAGCGAGTGTCAATCCGCTCGACGCTCGCTACAAGCTGACCTTCCTCTCTATGGCTTGGGCGCTACCGTGCCCTCTCCTTAAAGCACATGCCAAGGTATCGATCAAACAACTAGAGTCAATCGCTTTTAACTTGCTCAGTTTCAATGTAAGCGGACAACTGAACATCACGCGTTGGTGAGATTATCGCGCGATATATGGTGACTATGAGGTCTACGACCCGAGGTGGCTATACTAGCGCATCACGAGCACAATTCGCGATATTTCCGAATTTGATTAAAGACATATGGGATATTCGGGAGAACTCGAGAGGCTTTAGTAGCACCTCACTCAGAATATAGCAGGTAAGTCTCGGAAACTGACTAAAATTTGTAATAGTAAGCAATTCCTTATGCCCAATATTTAAATGAAGGTACCTTCAACTCAAAGCATTGGAGTTATGTCAAAAACTACCTGTAGACTGTCAGCAGAGACTAAATTATCGAGACCCAAGGAGCGAATTGTCGAGATCCTAAATAGCCATGTGGATGAAATCTGAGATAGCCTTCCAGCCACATAGGGAGTTGGAAAATGCGATAAACGAACACCTAACGTCAGTTCCATATGCCAATGATTTATGAGTACAGGAAGGCGTTCTCCATCGACCGTTGATGATAAGGAGGACAGCTAATTGTTTGTGCTTCCGGCATTTCATTTGTAGACTGTATAATGACATAATGTTTCAATTCAAACAAGATGAGATGAATTGTCATTGTGCCCATTATGCCACAGGTACCATGGAAACCAGAAGAGCAGTGGAAAGGAGACGACATACATATAAGCGAAACACGAAACGATGGTTCGTTTTGAAACACTATGAGGTGAACCATTCTTGCGCTTATAGATTAATTCTAAGTCAAAATTGCGTTATCCCAAACGTACTACGTTTGACGTTAATCCTGCAACCTGACTGATAATGTAAGGAATAAGACTGTGATGAAAAACTGTAGAGAAACGGATTACACAAACGAAGCATTATTGAAAAACAAATAGATTGAAGAAAACATGGAACGACTGCAGCAAGGGAAAAAATTTTATCCACCGAGTTACGAATCACAACCGATACTTTCAAGTGAAGTTCACTCACCTACAGTGCAATAAACAGACTCAATCCGTTTGACCGTTCGTCTGCATGAAATTCTTTAGAAAATTTAAAGCGGTCGGTTCCGTGTCCAAAGGAATGCCTGAGTCGGTAATTCCGACGTGTCGTAGGGTTTTCAGAAGAAAATCTCTGTCAATAGACGAACTTCTTACAATCTATAGACTAAACCGGTTGGTGTAAGCACTTCAAATACAAGACAGCTATTAACCAAAAAGATCTCTTTCGCCCGACTGTAAACTCAGAAACAATCTGAAA